ACTCTTATCACAGCTTTATTTCTGTCCTTTTTGCGTCTGTTTCATGTGATTAATAAGATTTCCAGATGTAGTTGAAAATTTTAAAAAAGATAAAACTTTAAGCTAATATTGAAAATGAAATAATAGCAGAATTGTAAATCCCAACAGTTCAGCATACGGTGTGTATGGAAAATCTTCCCATAACTTATACCCTTCAGCTCCTCTTCAAGCACAGAAAAACACATTGCGGGGGAAGAGCATGGGGCTTATTAGTAGGGGGTGGGGGCTGATGAAACACTTGAAGTTCAAGACGGGGGGCATATTATTGTTACCTTTTCAGTTCGGTATTATGCAGAAAGAGCAATATTCAATTGAGTGTCCAAAGCATGCGGTTTGCATTTGTTTGTCTTCAACGCTCCTCGTGATTGGTCAGGAAAACTCGCGCCACTCACTCAACCGATCAAATTTAAGAGTAAAACCAATCACGCTTGAGTCACCCGCGTTTTCCCGCTTGTCAGAGATGACACAACTCATGCAGAGCGGATTTAAGAATTTTTAATCGGGGGTCCAAAATTACTTCTCAACTTACGCCTGCTAATTGCCCCCTTTCTCAACCCCCCCCCCCCCTTATTAAAGAAAACATCAGTTGAGTTGTAATATGCGATCCCGTCGTTGGGAGAGAATGTCGGTGTCAGACAAGTAATAAGAAAACCCCCACGGGTTTGAATGGGGGGGGGGAGGGTAGGGGGTTCAAGACCTCCTCGCGCCTTCCCTCTAGTTCTGCCACTATTATGGCTTGGGTTCGATACTTCCTAGGGAACATAGATTATTTTTTCTTCCTTTGCCTCACGCTCGTGACGAAACGAATAACGCCTTTCTTAAAATATAAGCTTCTTGTAATTTTTTTTTATGTAAAATTTCGTACAACTTTATATTTCTTACTTGCGTCTTGCAGAGCTTGGCCAGTTGTCCGGTGTGGCGGCAATCTTGCGCTTCCCCATGCCGGACATCGCTGATGATGAAGGCTCCGCTGATTCTGAGGAAGATTAGTGAACTGTGTACATACATTTCTCAAAACTGGATTTAGAGCGCTTTTCAATTGAGTGTCGAAAAACCAAAAACTTAGTTATCACGGCGACCTATCAGAAGAAGGTAGATATCACAAGGAGCCAATGAGAACTCAAAGCTACCTCAAGCGCGGGAAACGTCAGTGACCAGAACGCGATTGGTTTTAGATTTGTATCTGATTGGCTGAGGGAACTGCGTGAGTTGTGTAGACCAATCACGTTGCGAAGTAAAGAAAACCAATCTCATCCTTGTTAACTTTCGACGCCTAATTGAAACTCATTCTGAAACACCCAAATATTTAACAGGATATAGCTAACAATATAATTATCCAAAACTCAGGGAGACAATATTTTTAAAAGGTGATCTAAGATTAGCAAATTCCCGTCTATGTCAAACGAGCTTTTATCCCACCTGATCAACGTTTGTGACATCGTTACAAAAAGTTGTGGTCGTGCATCATGACAAAGTACACTTCTACTGTGGTGCATGATCACTTTTCTCTCGATGTAGTCCATACCGATGTAGATCGCCTCGTCAACCTCATTCCCAGGTTTAGAGAGGATCATGAATCGAGGTTGATTGTGCATTGTGTAGTGGAAACATTATGATACTACATATTTATTAATGATAATGAGATTATTAATGGATGATAAAGAAGCCACAAAGATGGTTATTTCCCAGGCTGTGAGACAGTCTCTTGGGCAAACAGGTCATTCAACAGTAGATTTTCAAAGACATTTCAATAAAAAGAAAACTTATTGAAGCGAGGTTCGACCTTCCTCGAGAGCGATGTTTGAGACGACATAGAAACATCGAGCCCAGCTGATTTTGGTATTTGAATTGAAAACATTCATTGAGTTGAAATTGTTTTTAAGCGTTAATAAAACAACAAACACATTGAAAAAAATTGGTTTGGTGCCTTTTGCCAAGGAATATCTCTTTAGCAATTAGTTAAAATTAAAAATTAAAATTCAATACATTTATATAGCGCCATCTTCCATTAATTGTCCATGGCGCTTTATAATACTCTAAAAACCGTAAAAAGTAAAATCCTAAGAATTAAATACACTATAACTACAAGTAAAAACTACAAATCAAATGCACGCTTAAAAAGATAAGTCTTGAGATTAGCCTTAAAAACTGCCTCTGACGATGAAAGCCTGATCTGGAGTAGTAGTTTATTCCAAAGCCTTGGTGCCGCCACGGAAAAAAGTTTTCAAACATTGAAAATGTTAAAAAATCCGAAAAGAATTCAAACATTGATCAAGAAGAAATCACCTTTATAGCACAGATACGCCCATACCAACCCTGCGTGCGTGCTCGTGAATAATGTTATGTGTAATGGCTCTCATTTGCTCGTTGGCATACCTGTTTTTATGAAAATATTAAAACATGTGACATTACTTTCACTTCCCAAGAAGATCAAATCTCCATTTTTCCTTCATCTAGTCTGTGTGAGACTCGTTTAGTAGAAATGATCGCAAAATCAGACCGGAGCGAAAAGCGGCAGCCTAAAAGAGGTAAACTTGCTGTCTTTTGTTAACTTTCGCTGTCGTTTTCGCTCGGCCTATTTGTGTTTTTCGATCGCTGACGGTGAGCCTGATCCAGGCTTTCCAAGAATCACCAGTTGAATGCTGGGATATTCGTGAATTGATTTATGAGGTTATATATTCCAGAGGAATGCAGAGGAACTTCAGTGATGATTATTTACTAGATAATCACTAAGAGGATGACTCACTGGAATTAGTTTTAAAATGATCAAGCACTCAACCCTCTATAGTGAATTTCTTTTTCGAGAAAACCTGATTAAAATACCAGCCAATCAAAGGACTTTAGTCAAGCGTATTAACTAAAATAGTGATTGCCTTTATCCAAGAAAACCTGATTGAAATACCAGCCAATCAGCGTTATGAGATATATTGCAGCCAGCTGAGGCCTTTTTCCAAGAAATTGCGGTTGAAATACTGGCCAATCACTGGACTTCATTTAACAAAAAGCGTGCACTGAAGCCCATAACGTGGTTGTCTTTCCGAGAAAGTGAATGTTGACAGACGCTGTTGTGAATATAACAAACTCTTCCGACTTGCAAATATAGTTACCGAACTCAAAAACTGGCTTCCTTCGTGGATGAACCGCGTACCATGATAATAATAATCTTTATTGAGGAAACTTTTTCACAAAAAGTGGTTTTCGAAAAGGACCTCGAAAATTAAGACTAATATATATACATAAAATTAAAAGAAAAATAAAGGAATTGTAATTAAGAATTACATTAAGAAGTTAAAAACATGTCGCTTGAAT